CTTATCATAAAAATAAATTGAATTAAAAAATATGCAACCCAAGTATCATGCTCGCAGTTAAAAATTTCGTTATTTCGTTGAGATTGCAAATAGAATGAAAACATTATTCATTACTATTTATTATTATTCTTTTAAACATAGTATTTGGTATTATTAATCATCTATAAAAAAGATGTTTTTATTATGACTGATAATTGCCTGAAAAAAAATAGTTTTATAAAAATATGATAATGTATATGGATCACTCCATTGGAATTCTTGCATATTTTCCAACATCTGTATTAAGAGGAAATACAACATATTTTTGAATAATTTCAGTTATGGGTCATGTTAATAAATCTGATGTTTCACTCATCATATATTCCCCAATTAGATTTGCATGGATGGTCGTACAAATCTTCTTTCACTTTAAATTCTTTACCTATTATTGCTAATTGATTCTGTTTTGAACAGAAAGCCACATTAATTATATTGACAATTTTACCATTACGTAAAGCGCAAAATGAATGGACCTTTTCTTTAACATTGAATGTAAAATCTGAACTACAACGCTGAGGATATACTATACTATACTTATACTGAGGATTAGATAGCATAGACTTGTTACAAACTCTAGGCATGGCTTCAGACTTTACATCTTTCCCAATAAAATATTATTTTGCCTGAAAGTATATTTTATAAATTTGCTGGAATGGTTTCTCTGACTTTCATATGTATTTTTCAAGACCTGCTTGTAATTTTCAAATTTAAAGGCACTAAATGAATCTAAGCTAAGTATAATATATTATGTATATTATGATTTACATTATGATCTCCATATAAAACCTTAAAACTTTCCACAAAATAATGAAGTAGCTGCTCAGCATAATCTAAAAGATCAATTAATAACGTATTGCTACATCAAATTTTAATAGCGATATGTAAAGTAAGAATTTTTTTTATAAAAGTCATTCGAAATATGAGATTTCAAAACTACTGGCCCACAATACAATAATAATTGACTTAATTCTGTAGCTTTTCACGACCTCACATATTTCAATGGTCGAGGCTTTCTAGCAAATTCATTGGATATATAAATCTTTAAGCTGCATAAAAAATGTCATTTGTTTTAGCATATGGCAAACGAATTGGAAGCTCACTTAGTCCACAAAAGCAGCAATCTTTTAATTGCTCCTATACAAGTTAAATGCATATAGTCAAGTGGTACATTAGTAACTAAACCAATGTACGGTATTTCTAAAACTGCATCATGAACGGTTTTATTAAATTTGTCACAGTCAACATCCGATGAGTTTTTAAGACTAATTTTGAGATTAGTATAGTTTTCTGTTTTGCCGCGGTATAGTTCCTAGTTTGTTTTCCTCGAATGAAGTCTATAAGGATTACAAACATTGATAATTGAAGAACAGATAGTAGTAATTATAGGTGAGTGATCTGAAGAGAGATCGTAGCTTGAATGAGCATCTGTGTACCTTGAGTTTAAGCCCTTCATTATGAACAAATCCAATAAATCGGGATTTTCATTTGGTCAGTTGGCCAGTAAGTCGGAGTGCACGTGAAAAGAGTGCCATAGTTTTGTTGGACAATAACTTCATACAGTTTTCTTCCTTTTGTATTAATCAGTCTTCATCTCCAAAATGTGTGCTTACTGTTGAAATCTCCACCAACTATAAACTTATTTCCAAGAGATTCAAAGAATTCAGAAAATTGTATATTAGTAATTGTGGTGGACAATATACGGCAAAAATTGCTATTGCAAAAGATGACCTTTGTACTGTGATGGATGTTGCTTGTAAGCAATCTTTATTATATTTTTCAAGTTTATAGTAATATATATTATTAAATTTCATTAAAACAGCTATACTTCCGTAAGCTGTGCAATCTGGATAAGTAGTATGATAAGCACGATAATTTGGTATTACACATACCAGAAAAACGTTTATTTTGTTTTCATTGAGGTGGACAAAATTGTTCATTCTTAACTTTAAAAACCGCGCGCTTCGTGCGTACTGTTAGCACGAAGCGTCAGCGTCTTGTATGTTGGTAACATGTAAGTCAATCGCAATGTTCGCGTTGACATAACCTGTCGCAACTTTTACGTCGAACTTGTAAGCATAGATAAAAGAAGAGTATATAGATCGCTCTCTCGGGCCATATTTCGTTGCCACGTTAACTGTCAACTTGCCGGGGTTAGTTCGAGCTGCTCTCCCTTGGCGCGCACCCGTCGATCGTAGAACGGGTGCGTACATAAAATACTATAGAAATGCACCAATATTATAGACCGTTTGAATTCAAAATTACAAAAAAAAAATTGAATTTTAAAAAGCATTTATTTTTAACAATAGTATTTTACACACATGGTTACAAAAGATTCATCCTTATAAGCTTAACACAGAAGAAATAAAAATGTATATATATATATATATTTCTAGAGCAAAGGTTACTTATAATTACAATTAGATCAAGATAAATAATTTAAACACATCTCATAATTCGATCTCAATAATAAATAAATCAAAAAATTTGAGAAACTATCGGATATCTTTCATTATTCGCAAAAATTTGAGAAGCTATCGGATCTCTTTCATTATTCGCAAAAGCAACAAAATTTCTAGAAACTAAAAAGAGAAAAATAATTATATTCATATAAGAAGTAAAAAATATATATATTTAAAAATCATTTGCAAAATTAATGCATACGATAATCTTCTCAAGCAACTCAGTTTATATTTTTTTCGAATAATGCTAATTAACAATTAAGTTACTGTTTTGTTTTTGTTAATATTTTCTACGACTAGTGTTGATGTTCATTTGAATGTTGAACAAAATGTCATTATCATCATTAACATAAAAAAAGGAAATTATTAATAGTAATGTACAAGTACTTAATAGTTTTCTTATGGCATCTTCAATAACACATTTAAGAATAACATCTCTATCAGAAATAAGGGGTGCACGTTAATGGTGTTTTATTCCTCTAAACAAAAAAGAGATTAGCAAATATATACTTTCTTCCATTTGACAGTTCCTGTCAATCTGTACAATGTGATTATCTTTACGATCATTAAACAACGCAGGTAATAATATTTCTGTGTAATATCAAAATGCAACTATCACTACTCACAAACTTTTCATGGAACATAGCCAAACCTAAATTACCCCTTAGCTAGAATTTTATCATTAAGCATGAATTTCCTTCCATTTAATAATTCAGTATCTTCTCTTAGCCGACTTAATATATCATTATGAATACTATTATTCAATGCCAGTGGGAGATCAGCAAATATTTCAGCATGTTTCAGACTGGCTTGTAATTTCTTTATTAATGTTTTTCCCTGTTTATTCGTCTCATATCAATACTTGTGTTTAGTAAACCCGTTTCATAACTACTTCCAAGAGAAAAACTGCTGAAAAAAAATCAATGTTAAATTATTTATTATAAACCTTTATTATTAGTACAAGAATAATTCTTAAAAACTTACCTATCAGTGAGTTGGTTAATCTGACGGCAATTTTATCTGTCAATAACTATAACCTTAAAATTCCTAGCATTGTTAAATGTCTCAGTTATTATGCTATAATAAAAACTTATATCAGATTAGTAGTAATAGATGAAAGTATTTTGAAGTATGCATATTGATAAAAATACTTACTTATTGTTGAAGGCCCGTAAATATTATTAATCATTTTACATACTACATAGGTTCTAGTAGAAGAAAACACTAGTTTTGACCAGCCAAATAGCAAACATCTACAACATCCAAAACAATATTTATTTGTGATTAATGTTTAGTTATTTTATTCTTATTACGTACTTTGTCATTTCTCGCTGGAAATACATGTAATTTTGCATTTTTTGGTATTAGTGCACCCTGGAACGTAACACATCGACATTTTGCTTGCAAACTAATCCTAATCACTTATAAACGCAACCGAACGTTCTCGAAATTGTTTGATTGCCCGCGTTGAAATTCTTACCAGATGAGTGCCAAATCGCTGCAAGAGCGCTCCAAGGGAGAGCAGCTCAAACTAAAATCGAGCTACAGAGTTTTGTTCGGAGATTACCGGCCATGCTTGTAAGATTCGCTCTCTTATATCATACACCGCCGAAGAGTAAAGATCTATTAAAATATACGTCAGCGTCTTGTATGTTGGTAACATGTAAGTCAATCGCAATGTTCGCGTTGACATAACCTGTCGCAACTTTTACGTCGAACTTGTAAGATTCGCTCTCTTATATCATACACCGCCGAAGAGTAAAGATCTATTAAAATATATAATATTAACAATCCATCCAGCGTTTTAATTTACCATAATTTGGTCCTTCGAGCCGGATATTCACCAGTGCAAGTATTATTTTTGAGATTTTTATACACTGTGGTGAGAAAAGTTATTATATATCAAATATTTTACCGGCGTGTTTTGTTTGGTTACGCATGCGGCATTAGAAGTGGTCTAAGCCGTTCGTAAACAAAACGAAGAGCATATTAATTTTATCGACACGGGCAAGCAGTTCGGGCGTTGAAATCGTGACATTCAGAAGATCTGGGGGTTCCGGACTTTGAGGTTAGGTTTCACGTCGCTGTCCAAGGGAGATTCTTGTAGTGACCACGCTGTTCAGATCGACGAGTTCCTGAAAATTGGCAAATTTCCACACTATTTGGGGAGGATATCGAGGCCAAAATCACACGTGGAGACTGGATCAAGATTATTATTGACTCGTGTAATACATACACGAGGGCGAGAGTCTTTAATTAAACTTATTGTTCACCTATAATATATAAAAGTGAAAGACAGTTGCTGTATTGCTGACTGGTTGTACTAACACAGGAGTAGCAGATCACTCATCAGTCACATAGTTAGATTTTATTGTCATTTTTAGTTTTTTTATTTAATCTTACCATAAGGCATACATTATTTATATTAACTAAGGTATTGTGTCACGGTTTGTGATTATATTTGCAATATTTTTTTTTGTAGTTAAATAATAATTGTGCATAATGGCGGATGTGGAATCACTAGAAGGTACTTACAAAATGATTAAAGCGTCATTTGATGCAATTCACAAGTTTATAGCAGAATTCTGTGAGGGTGATAATATTAAGGCACTTTCAGTTCGAAAACAGAAACTTGTGGAACGATGCCATAGTTGGGATGAGACATATGTACAGCTTAATAGTATTTCCCCAGGTGTGTACACTACAGAATATTTAAGGTACTCTGATTTATATTTCGATATGATGGCGGATATTGAAACTATTATTGACCGCCATCAAAAACCGGCTACAAAATCATCTAACACTTTGATGGATGTGAAATTGCCAGACATTGTCTTACCTAAATTCAATGGGGAATATAGTGAATGGACAGCATTCATTGACATTTTTAATTCGCTGATCCACAATAATTCAAAGCTTTCACCTGTACAGAAATTGCACTATTTGAAAGGTGCTCTCACTTCGTCGGCATTTGAATTAATCTCTACAATAAGTATCACGAATGAAAATTATGAAATAGCATATAATTTAGTTGTGAAAACCTTCAGTAATAAATTATTGATCATCAATGCTCATTTGCAGAGCATTGAAAACATTCGAAGTATTCACAAAGGCTCATTTGAAAATTTGAGAGCCCTTTTAAATGGTGTAAGGCAACAGGTGCAATCTTTAAAAGCTTTCTTTGAACCCGCAGAGCATTGGGACATTGTCTTGCTGCATATGTTGAGCAGAAAGCTTGACAGTAGTACGAAGGTGGCTTGGAATCTGTCTCGAGCGTCAGGGCAGTTACCTACATTGGTTGAGTTCTTTACATTTCTTGAACTTAGGGTAACTGCTCTTGAGCATTCGTGTAGTTCAGACAGCAAACCAACCATCACGAAGTCAGTTCACACAATTGTCAAGAAACCTGCTCAATTATGCTCTCATTGCAAGGAAGATGACCATATGCTCTATCAGTGCTCTTCCTTTAAGGCACTTGATATTAAGGCACGCAAAGCCTTTATTAATAAACTTTCCATCTGCTCGCGTTGTTTGGCTTCTCGGCATAATGTGGCTAAATGCAAATTCAAATATACGTGTACAAAATGTAAAGAACCACACAATGCTCTGTTGCATGAGGAATCTGAGCCCAAGCCCAGTACTTCTAGTAGCACAGTATGTATGGCCAGTACAGGAATGCAGACTTTGTTGTCAACGGTTTCTCTTGTTGTTATTGACTCAGATGGATCCCAACATAAGGTACGGGCTTTGCTTGATAGTGGCTCGCAAATTAATTTAATAACGACTTCCTTACTTGCCAAGTTAAAATGCCCGGTCAGCTCGTCATTTCATAAGTTAAGTATGTTGCAGGGGCAGAGTGTGCTTTGTGATAAGTCTGTCAAGCTGACTATAAAATCAAGGTTAGGAGTCTTTGCGCGCACTATCAATTGTGTGGCTGTAGACAAAATTACACAATTGTTACCGTCTGCTTATATAGAGTATGATGGCTGGAAGATTCCAGACCATGTTTCGCTGGCAGACCCCATGTTTAACGTTCCAGGTGCAGTTGATATGCTGATTGGAGTTGAACTATATTTTGAAGTTTTGCAGCAGGGGTGCATTCGCTTAGGAAATCATCTTCCCATTCTTAGGAAAAGTTGCTTCGGGTGGCTGATTTCTGGTGTTTACACATCAGAAATGCAGAGCAGTGCACATGTTGGCTTCATTTCCAATGAAGATCTTCATGATAGTCTGACAAAGTTCTGGCAGTTAGAGGAGGTATCCTCTAATTATACAATGACTGGGTCAGACAAAGCATGTGAGGATGATTTCATTGCAAATGTAGCTAGACTTGAGAATGGGCAGTTTGAGGTGGCTTTGCCATTTGTAGATAACCAAATAGATAAGCTGGGGTCGTCATTCGCTGTTGCCAAATATAAATTTTTGAACCTGGAGAGGCGGTTTGCCAAGGACAATGCCTTGTTCACGGCCTACTCTAATTTTGTTAAAGCTTACATCGACTTAGGTCATGCTGAGGAGATGGTGCTGACACTGGAGGAAGCTGCTAAGAATAAGTACTATTTTTTGCCGCATCATCCAGTGGTCAAAGATAATAACTTTGACAAAATTAGGGTAGTGTTTGACGCATCGGCCAAGTCAACTTCAGGCATATCTCTAAATAATATTCTGCACACAGGACCGAAGCTGCAACAAGATTTATTTTCTATTCTAGTTCGCTTTAGGTGTCATCAATTTGTTTTTGTGGCAGATATTATAAAAATGTATCGGCAAATAAGAGTCAGGGAAGCAGACCAAAATTATCAAATTATCCTATGGAGGGAAACACCCCAGGACACCCTAAAATTCTTTAAATTGACTACAGTGACTTATGGCACTGCTAGCGCCCCGTATTTAGCTATGCGCTGTTTGAAGATGCTTGCGCAAAATAATATGACAACATTCACACAGGCAGCGCTGGCTATAGAAGGGGACTGCTATGTAGATGACATAATCACTGGAGCAGATTCAGCTGTCGAATTAGTTAGGTTGCAAAGGGATGTTGTTGAACTTTTAGGTAAAGGAGGCTTTTCCTTACATAAATGGTCTAGCAATTGTAGAGAAGTGTTGAGGTCAGTACCTAAAGAAAATCAAAGTTCTGCCATGGCGTTATTTTCTGAGGTAGACACTGTCAAAACCCTCGGTCTTGCATGGAACCCCTCTCAGGATTGCTTCAAAATTTTGCATGTTAAGGTAGGGGAGACGGAGGTTAGAAAGGGTTTTGACACAAAACGGTCGGTACTGTCCACCATTGCACAGATCTATAATCCCATTGGTCTTATTTCTCCAGTATCTGTGACAGCTAAGTTGATTATGCAGGAGTTGTGGAGGCAGAATCTTGGCTGGGATGAGTCTTTGCCACAAGAATTGCAAGATAGATGGGTACTGTTCAAAAGGCATCTCGCTGATTTGGACAACCTTATCATCCCACGAAAGATCTTTGATTCAATTCCTGTGACGATCCAATGTCATGGATTTTCAGATGCATCATTATATATGCATATGGTGCTTGTATATACCTTCGAGCTACCTATGCAAATGGCACAACGTCTTCGAGATTGCTTTGCTCGAAGTCTAAGGTAGCGCCGTTAAAAAATGTTACTTTACCCAGATTGGAGTTATCGGCAGCTTTGCTTTTAGCAAAGCTTTATAGACAGATAATGACAATCACAAAAATACAAATTTCTGAATCGTTTTTGTGGTGTGACTCCACCATTGTATTAGCTTGGTTGAAGACAGATCCCGCTCTATTAAAAATGTTTGTCAGTAATAGAGTTGCTGAGATTCTGGATCTTACACCAGGCATTGCTTGGAGACATGTCGGCAGTAAAGACAATTCTGCAGACATAGTTTCAAGGGGTGTAAAAACACCATTGGAATTGGTAGAATGCAATTTGTGGTGGAATGGACCAGCCTGGCTAGTAGAAGAATCTTGTAAATGGCCGAATAGACCTGCAGATGTTGTAAAGGAAGAAGCTATTCCAGAGCGCCGAGTACTTGCAACAATTGAGGTCAATATTGACGATAGTTTTTTGGACCATTTAGTAGATAGGTTTTCCAAATTCAATAAAATAGTCAGGGTGGTTGCATATTGCTTTCGGTGGTTCAAAATATTTCGCTCTCGAAAACCAGATGGACAACCGGTATCAGATATTTTGTCTGTTGACGATTTAAGGAAAGCCTCCAGACGCATTTTTTACCTAGCCCAAAGGAAAGGTTTTGGTAATATCCCTGATCAGTTGATGTCCGGTGAGTTGTCCAGTACATCTTTAGGAAAGCTGAAGGCGTTAAATCCCTTTGTGGACGCCGAAGGCTTACTAAGAGTAGGTGGTCGACTAGAGAATGCGGATATTAGTTATGACCAAAAACATCCAATCATTTTACCAAAGGCCAATTTGGCCATTGACATTTTTATTCGGTCAGAGCATGAACGTTTGCTACATGCTGGTACCCAAACAACCTTAGCAAATATCAGGTTAAAATACTGGCCTATAGATGGTCGCAATACGGTCAAGCGCATAATACACAAATGTGTAAAGTGTGCTCGGTTTAGGGCTACTTGTGCAGAGCAGCTAATGGGAAGCTTGCCAAAAGACCGGGTCACTGCTTACAGGCCATTTCAGATTGTAGGAGTGGATTTTGCAGGGCCAGTGTTACTGAGAGCTAGTCGATTGAGGAAGGCACCTCGCATTAAAGCTTATATATCCCTGTTTGTTTGTATGGCCACTAAGGCCATCCATATTGAATTAGTGTCGGGATTATCGACAGACGCCTTTTTATCGGCCTTACGTCGTTTTATATCAAGACGTGGGTGCTGTTCAGTCATCCACAGCGACAACGGGAGAAACTTTGTAGGCGCAAAGTCTGAATTGCGGCAATTAGCTACATTATTTCAGTCCGATAAGTCAAAAGGGGAATTAATCACTGCGTCATCGAATTTAGGTATTACATGGCAATTCACGCCTTCCCATGCTCCACATTTTGGAGGATTATGGGAAGGATCTATCAAAGTGATGAAACATCACATTAGAAGAATTATCGGGTCTCATTGCCTCACATTTGAGGAATATACAACGCTTCTATGTCAAATCGAAGCTGTACTAAACTCTCGACCTATTCTCGCCCTTACGGATGACAGCACCGATATAGCTTACATCAGTCCGGGGCATTTCATTATTGGAAGTGCATTAACAGCCTTTCCAGAGCCTTTTAGTGACGCATCCAAAGTTAAGCCAATTAAATTATTTAAACAGATATCAGCTATGCGTGACCAATTTTGGTCACTTTGGTCAAAACAATACCTTAATGATTTACAAAAAAGAAATAAATGGACACAGGTCCAACCAAATATTAATTTAAATGCAATAGTGTTGTTGAAGGAGGACAATTTGCCTCCATTACATTGGCCTGTTGGGCGTGTAATAGACACCAAGCCAGGTCAAGATGGCAAAGTTAGAGTAGTGACAGTCAAAACTAGTAGTGGGACATATACTCGTCCAATTACAAAAATTGTTATTCTACCCTGTCAATAGATTGTAAGTCACTATCTGTATTTGTTCTTTTGTCTCACTGTTTTGTTTACATATTCCTTTTAATTTAGGCTACGATAAATTAATCAATAAATAAATATTAGATAAATTATTAGTAAAATATTACTTGTTAATTCAATCGCTATTTAGGATATTATGTTTTTTTTTATTTTTAAGATTTAATTATGTTTAACATTATGTTTGCTGATTGCATATATATTGATTTTGATTTTATATTTTAGATTATACAGTCCACTGTTGGTGTACTCATTTTGATTACACACTATCATTAATCTTCTTGTTATACCATATTATATTACTTTATAATTGTTATATCATATATATATATATATCATTTTAATTTGATTACTGTAAGAATAATTTTGTCACTTCCTTCTTAATAATACGTGATGCTTGCATCGCGGGAGAGCGTGGACAAAATTGTTCATTCTTAACTTTAAAAACCGCGCGCTTCGTGCGTACTGTTAGCACGAAGCGTCAGCGTCTTGTATGTTGGTAACATGTAAGTCAATCGCAATGTTCGCGTTGACGTAACCTGTCGCAACTTTTACGTCGAACTTGTAAGATTCGCTCTCTTATATCATACACCGCCGAAGAGTAAAGATCTATTAAAATATACGTATAATATTAACAATCCATCCAGCGTTTTAATTTACCAGAGGTATAATATTACTTTGTGTTTATGCTGCATGAACTCGTTGGAGTTCCATAGTCCTAGTTTTATAAATTTAACTATAAAACTATTTGATTTTTTGATACAGGTAGATAACATATATATAATCATATAATAGAATTCGGTTGCATCAGACGTTGAAACATGTTTTGAAATGCTGTGAAGAATTTATAATGGTCATTATTAGCAGAATTGTTATTTACTATATTTGAGTTTTCGCTTCTATTGGATTTTATGGCTTGAGAATATGACATGTGCTCCGTGTTTGTCAGTCTATCAAATCGTTGTGGAGCGGCTGCAGTCTTGATATTTATAGAAGACTTGTATGAATCATTTCTAGATTTATTTTGTAATAAATGTTTATAGGCAGAACAAGCAGTGGCGTACCTAGGGGGGGGCGGTGGGGGCGGTCCGCCCCGGGCGGCACCTACTTTGGGGCGGCATTTTTTAATTTACTTATAGTTGTAAAAAGCAACTTATTCATTTCATATTTATTAACTTCCCCTAGGGTAAGTTATAGTAATGGGCCGAAAATTGAAAATGAACATCATTGCATTTCTTCACGTTTTGAATGTTTCTGAACATTTTGGCATACCTCTGAAAAAATGCACGTGTGTGTTTTTTGTCCCAAACGTTCACGTTTTCGGGCGCACGAATCGATCGATTTAAATGGTTCAAAAAACATTCGAATCGTTTTGATAGGGAGATGTTCTGATTAGTTTTGGCAAAGGCAGGCCCAGCCGTTACGGAAATACGAAACAAAGAGTGCAGAAAATAGAAATCTAGTTTTTGAGAGAACGGAACATCCGATTTGATGGATCCAAAAATACACTTGACATTCTTTCATTTTGCTTCATATTGATTTATAATGTAAATACAATCGATATTAATTAATTAATTGAATTTAATTCAAAATTTCAATTTTATTTTCAAATATAAATTATTGAGAATTCAAAATATTATCGACTGCGTTCTTGATAAACAAATCATTAAAATTGTTATATTAAACACAAGAATAACAACTAGGAAACCTATTGATCATTATATATTGAATATTGCAAATATATAATAATCTTATATCGAAACCTTTATTTTGCTATATTGTAACATGTTTACAGTTTTATAATTTAGTACAATCAATTCACATTCATAATATAATAATAAGGTAAAACATTCAATATGTAATGACGAGGAGAAGTGGTGATTAGTTTTTGGCAAAGGCAGGTCCAATCGTTTTGAAGGTACCGAGCAAAATGTGCAAAAAAAATCTGTTTTTGAGAGAACTAAGCATCCGATTTGAATGATGCAAAAAACTTTCTACGCGTGTTGACAAAGCAATTGCTTTTGGAAAAAAAACTTCGATGTTTTTTAATATCGAAAATAATACGGTTTTTAATTTGAATTCATGCTAAAGTTTTAATGCTCACTTATATACTTGAGATAAATAATATTAACGGTAATTCAGTTTATATATTCCTTATATATATTAGACAATGTCCTTCATTTTAAATTTGATTGATCGAGTTTTGTTTATTCACTTTTCTGTAAACATATATAATAATAAGTAACTGTAATAAGTTACAGTATTTGTAATAATCTATTTAAAAACATTTAATTTTCTTCGAATATATCATTACAGTACGGGAAGTTCCAGCAATTTGACTTAAGGCTTGAATTCTTGAATTATAAATGATTATTATGATTGTTATTATTGTCAATGTTTGATTTAAATTAATTATGATTAACTATGATTTTGCATATTATTTCTCGGCGTATATAAATGTATATTAGTGTAAATTTAGAATATTAATTGAAGAACAGGATAATAATTTTATTTTATTGTAATTATTCAAATTCGTTGAATTCGTAAAAGCATCTTTTCGATTTTGTTCGGCGATTTTTTTCTATTTTTATATCAACTTATAAATGTCATTTCATTTTCATCAATATTTTTTAAATCATCAATTTTTCTTTTAAAAATCAGGGCCGGCAGAAGGCGGTCTGCTAAGTCTGCAAAGTCTTAAGGCATTATAAAAATATGTTAACAAGCCGAAATATGTCAAAGCAGTTTTCAAAGATAGTTGACCAAAAAGCCAAAAATTGTAGTTTAGTTTTTGAGAAAACGAAGCGTCCGATTTAAATAATTTAAAAAACATTTTATTTGTATTGACTAAACGACGAACTGTTTTTGGAAAGACAGGTCTAGTGGTTACAGAGATTCAATAAGAAAAAGTAAAAAATTGACATTTGACGGTCCAAAATGATCATTTAGCAATTTTGATCATATGCACGTCAAATTATCTGATATTTTCTAAGGATTTTAATAATAAGAACAAATTTAATGTTCTTTTCTATGGGTTCCGTATCAATTAGATGCAACGCGAAGCTTACGCGCTTCGATATCTCGTCTCCAAAACTTTCAAAAAGTTTCAAAATATAAAAAAACAATTTTTTAAAAAAGTTTCTCAAAAATATATTATAAATAAAACTTTTATGTTTCGGTGCGGGAAGTTACTGCAATTTGCCTTAAGACACGATGCCCTGCACCACTAGTTTACTTGTGCCACAATTTGATTGACTTATAATAGAAAGGGCGGCAATCTGGAGAACGCCCCGGGCGGCAAAAGTTCTAGGTACGCCACTGAGAACAAGCATTGTAGTTTGCTGTTTGAGCTTATAAGAAAATGTAAATGCAGAAGACATTGGGGGGTTGCAAACTGTCTTCTGAAAATTTATATGCATTTTTTCAATTCTGTATGCACGCTGAGCATATGAGGCAATGAATGTATATATTGCACTTCGACAGTATGAAAAGTGGGTTTCTAATTTTTTCTCGTTGTCTTTGTGTTTACAAGTCTTCACGAATTCCAAAGGTTGGTTTAAGTACATTGATTACAATCAAAATTGTTGTAAAAGACCATATATTACTATCGATGAACATATATTTCCAATAAAAGTGAGGTGTGATTACATTCAGTCATATGCCATATGTTTTATTTTAATAATATTATGGCAATTGTGATTGCTGATAATTTTGTAAGAAATGATATTAATAATATTTATCATAATAGTTAATTTAATTCAAGTATTATCTATGATAGTTTTATTTCAATAATATAATGGCAATTGTGATGGCTGATAATTTTATAAGAAATGATATTACTTGTATTTTCCATGTGAAAAAAATGTAGATAAATTCGAATCCACCTGTTAAAATTGCCAATAAGGCCTATGTTAGGCACGTAACATATGGCATATGACATTTGATCAATCGGCAGTCCATGTAGTGTAATGTCTATGCAATAGACGCAGAACAAATGATCAACAACGACAACAGGTACATCGAGCATTTATATATGATTAATTCCTGCGTCTAGCTTTCCAGTATGAGCCCGATATTGAATATTATGCTCTTCAAAAGTGGTAATTGGTGCTATGGACAAGGAATGTCCGCATTGTCATGCTCTGAAATTCAAATCACATATGCACCAATTACAAAGCGATAATCACGCTATCGTCATTAATCCTGATAAAACACCAGTTGGAGAGCATATTTTTAGTTTCAACGCACCCGTTGTTGATGATGTTGCTGGAATCATGATTTATGGTTGACAGTTGCACGAGAAATTGTGATTTGTAGAAGAAATAATAATAATCCTTCTAATCTCGTTTATTGATGACAAAAATCGTTCATGTGAATATTAAATTATTGAATAAATTAAATTAAATTATAATTCAATTAAATTAAATTAAACTAAATTATTGAACGTAATAAATTTAAATGAATTTTCATGAACAAATATTACAGGAGCCGAAACAAACAAGAACGTTATCTCAAAGGATTATTATGCGTACCGATTAAAGAAGATGTGGCCTGGAACTCGTACCTGTTACGAATTCATCTACTTTGGCAAGTATTACACTACCCAGGATAGTAGATTGAATTGTATTTGGTAGGTGTTCATTACACATCATGATATTACCAGGTTTCCTCCTCAAATACCATTTAATTTGCAGGTAATTTATTAGCACCCTTGAACCCTGGATTCTATTCACTACCGCCACACCGTTACTTAGGTCCTAAGCATCCCAATCCACTAAGGAGGATAAATGCACTACCTAGATTTTGGTATCCATATTTCTACCAATTATATCGGGCCGAATAGATTCATCGAGGAAATAGCGGAAGATATGTAAACGTTCCAGAACCGGCGGCGCTTGATATTGTAAGTATTAATAGAGATACAAATAGTTAGTATAATTTTATAGCGAGGAACCACTTTTCAACCTGTTTGTAAGCATTTTGAAT